AGTTGCACTACAAAGCTGACTTTACTTGACTGCCGTCTCGTTCAGTTCGGATGCTATTATATTTGTCCTGATACAAATCACTATAAAGCAAAACTTTACCATCTGAGTTTTACAAATCGCTGAAATTAGAAACTTGGCCAGTCATAAATTAAGGGCACAAAATAAAATTATTTTTTAAACAAGTGTGTATTAAAACATTTTTGTTATTAAGCTACATCGTGAAAGGCTACAGTGATGAGCGATGTTATCGTTGGCGGTAAACTACAGGTAAGTAATCTGAAAATATTCTGATTAAGACAACACTGTACACAATGTGCAGCAGAAAAATTCTCATAAATAAAAGCGTACTTTATGTTCAAGATGTTGACTAAGCTGCTTTTGATGAGCAATGGCCAGTTCCCTTTCCGCCGTGATACTAACGCTTTCCTTTAAAGCTTCTTCCAACTCTTCGATTCGCTGGTCTTTCTATGTTGTAAATCTGCGTTCAAACATCAAATATGACCAATGTTTACCTTTTTCAAATCCGCCGCTGTAGGCTGTTGGTAGAAATGCATTTTCGGCCTGCTGCTGTCAGTGTGTAGCCTAAAACACAGCAATTCCGAACAAGCGATTCCGGTGACAAAATATCGAAATACTCAGCGTTAGTGGACGTTTTCTCGTTTTCGTCGTTAGCCGGCTTGTCGGCCAGCTTCGACAGCCGTTCTACTTCTGCTCTGGCGCTTGTCAACTCGTTGCTCAACCGCTCCAACTCTGAATTCATGCTCTGCGCTGAGAGCGGCGACTTTTGGCCGTGAGTCTTCGACTCATCCTGTGCCTGAGCAAGTTCGCGGCTCAGGTCAGATATTTTTTCATTCTGGCTCTCAATCAGCATCTTGAAGAAAATCGCATATCACCGAGTTCAGTCGACATGCGGAAGCTTACCTGTCTGTCGCTGATTTCACTCTGGAGTGATTCGATGGCGAGTCTCAAATCGCGTACTTCCTTGCGATGAGCCTCCACCTCTTCCAGTCGCTCTGATTCGGTACGAGATCGAAGGTCCTTGAGCTCTTGCATCAGCTGGTCTCTTTCTCTGACAATGCTGTCAATTTCACCCTTGAAATTTCAAGTCACATAAACCAATCAGTTCAGTTACTAATAAGTCACACTTGTATCTGCTTTTGCTGAATCATCGACGGCGAACAATCAAGTCGCTGCCGCATCATATTCAGCTGACAATCGCGATCTTTCAATACCATTTCCAGAGATTTTGTCTATTACCCATGTCAATATTTATCAATCTTTGGATCAAAGTACAATAGCGTCGGTTTACCTGTTCATTAGCGGAGGTAAGTTTGTTTTCGTACACTTTCAGCTGTTCGTTCATGATTGTCAAGTCTGACTGGATTCGATTTTTTTCTATCTGCAACTCGTTTATTTGAGAATTCTTCTGGTCAAGCAATTCATTCCTGGATTCAAGTTTCTTCCGAAGAGTATCGATCTATGAAATGAAGTTCATCAACGTCTACCGATAGAACATCCATGTGTACGTACATCATTCTGCAGCAACTCAATTTGTTGGTCTTTCGAGCAGTTCGACTCTTTGATGACCTCAACGCGTTTTTTAACTTCAGAAAAGGATTCTTCCGCTGTAGACAAGCGCGTATGAAGCGTCTGAATCTCAAGCTCCTTTTGACTTAACTCCATATCAAGTTTTTCATTCTATAAGCAATGAGCCAATTAGTTCTTTGACAACAAACTAATCAGCAACAACCCTCATATGTAATAATAATCAAAACTCAATCTACTAAGAAAACAATTTCGAAGTCAAAGCATACCTTTGCTTTTAATTCTTCAAAATTCCGATTAGAAACGGTCATCTGCGCATCGTCATTACTGTGGGCGGCCTTTTCTTCCTTAAGTTCTTCCAACTGATGCCGATAATCTTCAACTTCTTTTTCGAGTTGCTCGATGACAGTATTCTACGGAAATAAGCAAAATGGTTAAAAACATCGACAGGTATATGACTAGATTCAGAATCGGTCGTTTCGAGCAGTTCTGCAGTCCGGAGTCTGAATACATAAGCTATCGTTTAGAGTGGTAGTCTGTCGAAAGACTGAAACAGATTTGTGGTTCAGTCCAATATGAAGGATGAATAATGCCACGGCTTTATTCCACTGTTACTAAGCCTACTCTTACGTCTAACCCTCGACAGTGTTGCCTTCATTTTGAAGTCTACGTGAAGTGGCGTTAGCGTAGGCTCAGGCTTAGGCAGTAATGCGCTAAAAACCACACACTACCAGTCTGAAAGAAAACCAAATCATTTTCTAGTTTTTGAAACAGAGTACACTGAAACTGCCCTCATTATGAACGAATCTGACCGTGCCTGATGCAATTACTATTACTGTGACCTCACTCCGCAAAACATTTTTACCCTACGGCATAATCACAAATGATATTTAAGAATCCCTTTTTCCCATTTCTTCACCGCAAACATACTGAAGTCAAATTTTTGAATGCTGCTGCACAGGAATCAAAGCCAATAGTCGAAAAAATAAACTTCTGTTCGTTGGTCACCGAACAAAGTTGGGGTGTTTTGGGCCCCGGCACGGTAGGTACGAAAATATCAGAGACAAAAGCTTCCTAGCAATAGCAACAAAAGATCAGTGCGATTACTTCTTGCAAATCCGAAGAAGTGACGGCAGAATATTTTGTTTGTTTCAGATTATGTTACGGGTCAGACCGTAAAATCACGAAAACCGTTTTAAAATGCTACCATGCTTACGTCGTCAGGGATGGGTGGAGGAGGCAGGCCAGCTTAAATGGTTCCTCTAGGCTATTAGAAGCAAGCGAACGGCGCAGTATTGTGGTATTATCAAGTGGAAGATTTTTATCTGTCTTATACTACCGTAGTATCGATGTAAAGTAACAAATGAGTTTTTTCTTTACAGTGCATGTTAAAATCTGGAATCATTAATTTTATAGTGTTTAACTTCATTAATACTATTATAATCTTTAACTTATCACTGTGAGACTAATATAGCTGTAAAATTCATCATATAAGACAAATGGGGTGCAACTGACAGATGAAACGCCTAGACGAAAGCAGAATTACTTTTTTCTTGTAAATATGCTAAGCTTCGATTGTAGACGGATGTGCGAATCAAAGCTCATCTCTAAAACCGAGTAATCAACCATCGACTTTAGTTTCTACTTCGATAATAACGAATTCCGTAGTATGTGATGCGTTATGTGAAGAGGGCATAATACGTTGAAAATAAAAAAGAACCAATAGTTACAAAAGAATCGAATAATCGAAGTGAACATCTAACTGATGTGAGGATAAAAATACTTCATCAGTCGAACAGCGAAAGCGTTCATTCTTGCGCAACGCCGATTCCAGTTGAATGCGTTTGTTCTCCAGCTCGATTATTTTCGCACGGCACTGCTCCAACTCCAGACGATCGTGCATCGTTGAATATGAAACCACTCCTAAATGCGGCATACTCTTAAGCATTATTCGAAGATGACACGACTGGTTTGCCGTCATTGACTAATTACTTTCTGTACGCAATATATTCTCGTAATAAATAAACGCACGTGATGTTAAAAACGTTGCTGCATCAATTTGATATCACAAAAATTACAACTAGTTTGCCAACCAATAACTAAGACGAATTAGATGCCTTTCTTGTCATTTGCCTTTCCTCATGTTACATGGCCATGATCATAAAAACAGAACAATAGAATCGTTGAAATCAATAAGTGCGTTGTGTGCGTGAAGAAAATATACTGCAACTGAACACACGGACTCGTAAGAGAACGGTGTCTAGCAATCGAGAGAACAGTTAGTATGGGTAGTCATCAACCAAAAACACATCTGAATTTCTACGTCATGACGGCACAAGGACAGTGAGCGCGTATTTTGAATTTTGAAATCTACACAACAGTCGTTAGAGGCAATCATCATCCACCCACTGCAAAACACTTCAGGCGGTGTCATTTTGATTTCAATTCGATTTCAGTACGGCTTTAGCACGCCCTAACAAGAACAAGTACATGTTGTCAAAGAGAACATAAGAAAATCAATTCGCTTTTGAAAGTGCCCATAATTCTTATTAAATAAAGCATATGATATATACCTCAAGCGAAACTAAACCCCGGTATGAAATTCATGTAAAACAGTTACTGAAATAAGGCCAAATTTCGACTTGCAGGCAAAATAGTTTAAGCCAGGTTGAAAGAGCGCGACTACTGTTCAATCTAGAGCAAGATCAGTAACGATTCGGTAGTAA